TGGGTATTTTGTCTTTTAATCCAAAGTCATATGGTAAAGATGTTGGCAAATATTTTTTCTGCAGAGGACCACATAAAAATATTTTAGGCTTTCCAGAGCAAGAAGAAAAATAAAGAACATATGTATATCTACCCTCCATATCTGTAATTCTGCATCCACAGATTCAATCAACATCAATCAGAAATGATATGAAAAAAATTACAGTCTATTGAACATGAGCAAACATTTTTTTGGTCATCAATCCCTAAACAATTCATGTAGCAATGTACATGATATTGACATTGTATTAGATATATTAAGCAACCTCCAATGACTTAAAGAATACAGGAGGATATGAATAGATTATATGTGGATATTACCCCATTTCATCTAAAGTACTTGGACATAAATGGATTGTTGAATGAAGATTATTGGAACCAATCTCCTATCAATACCAGGGAATGGATGACTGTGTGTGTGTGTGTGTGTGTGTGTGTGTGTGTGTGTCCTTTTAAAATGTAAATATTTAAAAGTATAAAGATATAATTAGTCCATGGGCCATATAAGAACAAGCAGACTAGATTTGGTAAGAGGTCTGTAATTTGCTGACTTCTGATACAGAATATAAAAAAAACTAAGCAGGAATCTGTTAGAGTTTATCCATGACCCAAAATACTGGAATTGAACATGGATGTGGCTTTGAGTTGTTTCCAGTTGGGGAAGACTGAATATGTTCCATTTTAACATTAGCATTTTAACATAATATGTAAGGAAGGAATTGTGGTGGACATTTTTGATAGACTCTTATTAAATATTCATATTGCAGTGGATGGTTATTCTGTTCCAGCTACGGTGACTCCCTTGTCCTTGACAGTGGCAGGGTAAGAAATGGGTCAGGAACACAACTGGAGTCAATGCAATACATAGGGGATGTTTACTTGCAGGTGACTAGGAAAGCTTTTCTTTTTCAGAAGGAGGAAACATAGAAAAGAGATGCTCCCCGCCCCTGCCTTGTACCTCTAATTATGTTCCTATGTAAATATGAGGCATGATGCCAGGAACCACAGCAGGATTCCTCGTACCACTATGAATATGAAACCAATATGAAGGATTGCATATCAAAAAGAAAATGTTATTATTTAGCTGGTTTTGCCTATTTCTCTACCCAAACTACAAAAAGTAAGATCTTTTCTGAACCATTTTACCTACTTTTTTTTTTTAATTTCCAAAACTATTTTTTCTTTCTTTTGTTGTTATTATAGTCAAACCTTACGTATTGTAGCTATGAACCTAAAGCATTTTGAAATCATGCACTATTAAATCTTTTTTTGTGTTTTTAATGGCTAGGCCTCTCCAATTTTAGCTTCCATCTAGTCTATGAAGTACTAGAAGAGAAGTTGGGAGAACTTCAATGCATGACCTATATGGAAATATTGACCTTATATTATACATATTTTCTGTAGATCTAGCATTCAAATATAGACTTACTGAATTGCTCAGTTAACAGGTAACCTTTTTTTGGATTGGCTTCTTGCACCAGGCCATGGCATATACTGTTCAACCTGTGAATGTTCAACCTGGGAAAGACTGCATCTTTCATGTGCCAGGTCACCTATCTGCCAATCTGTCCTTGATAGTAGAATTGCATGGTATTATTAGGTGCAATTGTAGTTGAGCAGATAATACAAAGCAAGGAATAGAAACAATGTCTGAGTTCCTTTTATCACCAATGCAAACCAGATATGAAAATGTCCCTAAACAGGAGATAAATTGAGGGTCATCCAAAGAAAAGAGATATATTCCAATGTGGGTAAGACTCCACTATGACACTCATACCTAGGGAACACTTCTAATGAGAAAGGTTATATGACTGGAACTCTCTGGGCCTGAATCATGGATGTGGGCTTCACAGAATCAGAAGCAGCTAAGACAGAAAGTGTGGATCTGTGGCTACAAAGAAGAAAGTTTAAAAGTTCAAATATGATACCCAAAAAGTAGACTGAAAGTTGGAGAATATGCCCTTGGGGTTCACAGGATAATGTGATTTTACCTTAGATATAGATGTGAAGTTGATTTTAATCCCAGTTTTCTCTTCTTTCCTCATAGATTCTGTACCTGTGTGTGCTCTGTAATCATTTTTCTTTAGACTGAACTAAGTACAACTAAAATGAAAGAAAAGTCCCCCATCCTCATTGCTCCTGTCAGGTAAGGTATATCACTTCCTGCCAACATTCTCCCAAGTAAATAAAGTGCACTGAGACTGAGCTCTTGTATTTGTACAAACATTTCCAAAACACAACTATCAACCTGTCACTGAACTGGAAGCGAGTAGCCCTTCTTATCTGTCAAGTATTGAAGAATGCTGGATAAATTAATTTTACTACTGCTGTATCTCATGGGAGGAGAGTAGGCTAATAAAACCAAAGTGTGGGCTGATTAGTTCTTTGTGTTTATTGGCAGGGCATTCCTGAGATATTCCACCACATACTCCCTCCGTTTATATTATGTTGGAGATGTCTAATATGGTTTTAAAATCCATTATTCAGAAATAGAGGGAGAAAAGTCTACATCTTTTATGTGCCAGGCCATGAAAGAAAGTGATCATTGAAAAAATACAAGCAGCCTTTGTCTTAGGTAAGTTTCACATAAAATTCTGGATACTGGAATTTGGAATTGCTTTGGAACTCAGCCAGGCAACAACCCATGGGGTGACAGGGAAAATAAAAGGGAATATGTACTGTGTAACTGTAATAAGTTTAATATGCATTTCTTAAACTAAATCCCATCTAAAAGTAACTCTGAATACTCACAAGATCATGCCAAATTTCTGAAAATATTGTTTATATTTACTAAGTAAAGGATACTTTGTTAAAGATATGACTTAGATTGCATTTCAGGAAGTAAGATAGTAATGGCTGAAAACCCAAATATGATAGCCAACTAAATTGAGTGGAGATATTTCTGCCATTATCATATTATTATAAATAAGTTTAGCTATTAAATTATTCTGGACAAATTGAACAACTGATGGGTATTTTTGAAACAATCATCTCATTCATTCGTTTTATTCATTCATTGATTCTAACAAGACTTGGTGGTTACTGGGGGAAGCCCTATTCTTAATACCGGGAATACAGAGTGTTCTTGAAGCTGAGGTTTGGAATATACAAAGTAATAAATAGCACATAGATGGTAAGTCAGAACAACAGCTAGTATTACCGAATTTTGTTAAAGAACTCTAGCCTAGGACAAAGTAATTAACATAATAGGATACTATAAATTTAGAGAAATACTTTTTTGACATTTTATTTGTGAATGTTTTGAAAACAGTTTTAATTTCTTCTGTTCCTAATTTTTAATCAAAGCAACAAGTATCAGTGATTTTTTTTTCGTATAATGGGCTACAAAAGCAATAATTCTTTTATAAAATGAGATTCATTTGGCTAATAAATTATACTTAATTTTCATACATTAGGAACCCAAGAATAATCCTTGACTCCCTTCTGTTCCTAATCAGATCCTCAGTCCTCCACAGCATAACCCCTTAAACTATTGATTCTATGTACTTAAGATATATCAATTCTCCATTCTCACTGCCACTATCTTAAACCAGGCCACCATAATTTCCCCCTGGATTAGTGAAGTAGTCACTGTATGTGTTTTTCTGCATCCTTTCTGAATGTGAGGTGAATTGATCTTCATATGTTATGCAGAGACATCCTGGAACCACTTGATAGTACCTCCCAATGTCTTTCCAATGCATACAGTGAAACTTCCATATGTTGTTTGAAGGACAAACCAGGCCACTTCTGATCTATTCTCTGCCTGCTTCGCGGACTTCAGTGGCCTAACTGTCCCACCTGATACTCTTCACTCTTCTCATACTGAGTCACTCTGCACGTAATAAGGAATGGTATTCCACCTCCTGATTTCTTTCCTCAACCCCCATCCATCTGATAAAATATTTCCCTTTCTGGGACTCGGTTTAATGACTTTGTTCTCCTCACATCTTTCCAAACAAGGCTCCATGGCTGCAGAAATTATCTTTTTACTCTCTTATGTATCTTTTCACTCTCTTAAGACTCTCTTTTAAAGGGCAGAGAATTTAAATTTTGATTTTGAATATCAGTTTATTAATATTTAGTTTTGATTCATCATTTAGGCTTTTGTATCTTAGAAATATTTGCCTAACCCAAGGTCAAGAAAGCCTTCTTTATGTTTTCTTTCTGAAGTTTTGTAGTATTAGGTTTTATATTTAGGTCTAAGATTCATTTTTAATTAATGTGTATTAAGCAGTTTTACTGAGGTATTTTTTAAGTATTTTTTTTCAGTTGTGAATGGACACAATACTTTTATTTTATTTTTGTGTGGTGCTAAATATTAAACCCAGTGCCTCACGCATGCTAGGCAAGCGCTCTGCCACTAAGCTACAACCCTAGCCCTTGAGGTATGTTTTATATAACATGAAGTTCACACGTTTTTGGTTTATATTTCAATGATTTTCAATGATTTTTAGAAATGTTACCAAATGATGCAACTACCCTCAGTAAATCAGTTTTATAATATGTTTACTGCCTCATTCCAGTCAGATTCTTCATAATAATTTACAGTTAATCGCTATTCCAATCCACAGTGCTAGGCAATAAATAAATTAATTCTATTAAATGTGCTTTTTTAAATAAATATTTGGGATTGAATGGGGTCATGAAGTTTTTGCTCTATTGCACCTAGCCTCATTCTCTTGGCATAATGTTTAGGAGAGGCAGCAATCATAGCATGGATCAGTTGAACATTCCTTGGGATGGTTGACTGGCAGGCATTCCATTGTATGAACATAACACATGTCGATCCATTCACCATCTGAGGGATGTTTAGGTCCTTTACAATTGTGGGAAACTAGGAATAGTGCTGCTGTTGACATTCACACGTAGGTATTTCAGATGTGGACCTATGTTGAGATATGAATTAGAGTCCATTTGTTTGCACATGAATATTACTATGGGCTAAATCGTATTCTCCAGAAATTGTTAAATTGAAATCTGAAGCCCAGGTACTTTCCAACGCCACTGGAGATCCTGCCTTTGAAGAGGTAAATAAGATGATATGGGTCATTGGTGCGGATGGTAATCCAGAATGACCGGTTTCTTTAAAAGATTGGTAGAAGATAGATACACACAGAAGGAAAACCAAGAGAAGAACTGAAGAAGACAGCCATCTACAAACAAAAAGATTTCCAGTAATTAAATCTTCAACTTCTATATTCCAGAATTGTGGAGGAAAAAAATGTGTGTCATTTAAGCCAACAGTTTGTGACCCAATGAAACCAATAAAGATATTAATATGTTCTAGTAACATTCACTTAAAAAAACAAAGCTGAATTATCTATGTGTCTTTATTCATACCTATATAAATTTATTTCTGAATTCTCTAACCTGTTCCATTGAGTTAGTTGTCTGTATTTAAGATAATAACACATTATATTGATTAATGTAAATTTATGTTGCCTTAAAATCATATAGTATTAGTTCTTAATTTTTCTTTTTCTTTTTTTTTTATAACTGTTTTGATTATTCTAAGCCCCTTGTATTTCCGTATGAACTTTAGAATCAGGTTGTCAATTTCCCACAAAATAATCTTGCTGGGATTTTTATTGGGATCATATTGCATCTATTGATAACTTGGGGGAAAGCTGGCATCTTAAAATATCATATCTTTTGAGAAAGAAAAATTATATTTCCCAATCTATTTAGTTCTTCTTCACTTAATCTCAATAATATCTTGTAGTTGTTTGGCATACAAGTTCTCACATTCTTGCTACCTTTTTCACCAAGCATTTTATATTGTGATATTTTGGTGGTATTTTTAAATTTCATTTTTGATACTGTTATGAATTTATTTGATTGCCATTGTGATGATTTTGAGAGGTGATTGGGCCATGAGAGTTCTGCCCTCACGAACAGATTAATGACATCACTAAATGTTTGGAAATTTATTAGAACGTGCTTGTATTTTATACTTTGGACAATCTCAGCAAACTTTGCCTATACATTTGAAAAGAACAGGTATTCTGACCCCAGTTCTTATGTAATTTAATCAGGCTGAATTTCTACCTTATAAGCTTCTCAGTTCTCCAAAGTAATTAACACTTCTGTCCCCATGCTACAGAGGAAACCTCAATATGTTTCAAAATTAAAATGAATTCAACTCCTCCTGCTGTTTTGCCTCAGGGCAGGCACTCATGGGAAATAGAGCACATTATCACACCATTTGCAATTTATAGCAGAAATTACACATACTCATACAGAGAGAGAGAGAGAGAATAGAATAGAAAAGAGGGGGGAAGATTTGTGCAGTTTCCCCTAAATGCCATTGTCCCAGATGGGATTTCAGTACACATGAAGTTTATAAAATAAAGAGCCCTTAAGAATTTTGCATTCTTACTGTAAAACAGAATATATATCTTTTTTTAGATGGATTTAAAAGATTATCAGAATCAGAAGGGTGTACTAACTCAGAAAATCATACATTTGATTATGATTTTAAAAATAGCTTGTAGCAGAAAACATACTAATTTTTTTTCCTGTTTCCTAATAATGAGTTCAAGATGTCTTGACCACATGTTATGGGATCCTTGCAAATTCAGGATTGTTTGTAGGACAACAGGCATGCCCTTTCAAAGTGTATTTTCCTTCAAGAGGCCTCAGAACACTGAAATGTTCCCCACCTTCAGTGAACTTCACTGAGGAATGACTCACAGTGGGTGGGGAGTGGGGAATAGCACCATGAATGAGCCCACCAATAAGGTCTTGGCTGTTCCTCGAATATACTGCAAAACAGAATATAGCACAAAGAAACCGTTGCTTTACATCTTTATGTTGCACGGGAATTGGTCTGGTGAAAAAATACTGCAGAGATGCAAAATATCTTAGAAGTACATAAAATATATACTGTTGGTGCCTTCTCTTTTACATGTATGTTGTGTATATTTGGAATTTATCAGGAATATCAGTAATAAACTTAATGGAAATCAGAAGCATCCTCTAAGACTTCCATGTCTAAAGACATCATCATATCTTAAATCTTGTCAAATCAACCCATTATACATAAGGGGAAAGGACATTTTCCTAAATATTAGAGGAAAATAGAATCACACAGTGTGATAACCTTTTCTCATTATTTGTCTTAACTTGAAATAGTGTCAATGTCTAGCCCTGCCATCATTTTGTGATGATAAACAACTCACAAATCTGTAAAAAGAACAAAATTTTATATTCTTTCAGTTTACATTCAAAAAGTCAACAGAAACAACTGACTGCAGCCAAGTATATTTTATGTCAATGAAGAAATAGCCAAATGTGAAGTTTCAGATTGTTCTCTTGGAGGTTTTTATGGATTTATGTAAAATTTGGTATGTTTTTATAGAATATGTTTATTAATGGCTTCTGAAGCCTTGAATAAGAAGAAAAAGAATTAATAACTGAGTATCTGTTTTGAGTTTAAGTGATAAGAACATTCATATTTTTTTCTATCAAGTGCAGCAGCAGCCAAAAGGGCAAAAAAATATCAACAGGCATGTTGCAGAAAATGAGTGAGAAAAAGCAGATCAGAAGAGATGACTTCCATGTCTGATCATAGTTAAATTCCTATTACTGTATTTCTCCTCCTAACTGTTGGCTTCCTCCAACAGAAATGTACCTGTCCTGTAAGACTGATGAGATTGGTGGTTTCAGAGGAGACTGAACTAAATTTTCTGAGTTTGTTTCATTGTAAAGTATCACAATTTATCACATCACAATTGTGAAGCAGATATTCACTTCCATCCCCATTATGGCAAAGTAAATATTTATCCAAAATTTAAAGAACTTCAAGACACATTGCTACTTTTACCTTAAAACTCCAGTTTTTAATAGCACATAGGGGTCATAAGTTGAGAATAACAATAGAGACATTTAACAGAAATGTATTCACTTGACTTTTTTTAAAATGAAAAAAAAATGAAATTTCACAGGAAGAAAGTTCTTTGTAATATAAAATATGAATGTATGACCTTAGGAATGCAGCAACAGAAGCTCAGAAAGGTAAGTGACTTGTCCAAGTTTCCCCAAGCGCTAATGGACAGGAGCAGCTCTGGGACGCATGTCTCTTGAGCTACATATTTTATTGAGTGGTTTACCTTAAATTCCTTTTCATATCAACCACTCCACTAGCTTATTCATTAGAGGGGGAAAAAAAAAGACATTCCTGTGCTTTTAGAATAATGTCTTTGTTGAACTGACCTACTTTTGGCCATATTTCTTTGTATGTACAAAATGTTCATACTTTACGGAGTTCCGATGGGCTGGCTTCCTAACAGTGTTAGAAACTTAGGCAAATGGGACTTGCAAAACTGACTGTTCTTAGTACCTATTTCCAAGACAGCTTCAGACCATTGAAACTAACCTATTCTGTTTTATTGGGCAGACAGCCAGTTGTAGTTCCACAGTTAGTGTGGCACCAAAACCCAGGTCCCAGTTGATACTTTAGGAAATTTGCTTCTTATCTTGCTCCACTTCTCTAATCCAAAACTACATTTGAATTTATGGACTGACTATACATAACCATTAATTGGAGAATTAATTTTAAGGCCAGCATTTTATAGATAATAACACTAATCTGGGTTTTATCAAAGCAAAACAAGTTACTTAAGCACAAAAACTTATTTATACCTGTGCCATTCGTGTGTGTGTTGGGGGGTGGGTGGTATGTAATTGAACAAAAGCAGAAATGGACACAAATAAAACTTAAACTTCAGGGACATACACGTAACCAGGTCCCTTCCAAGGCCCTGGGAGAAGCCTTGGAGGAGATTCACATGATCATGCAATGGGTTCATATGGTCATATGTTTTAGGAAAATCTTCACAGGTCAGTTTACCGTGATTTTAAGAGGACCTTGTATCCTCATCACACTTCACCTTGTGTAGAATGTTGTCAAAGTGATTGCAGGAATACTGGGATTCATCCAGAAGAAGGCAAGTGTCAGGTACCCTTTGTTTAATAGAAAGATATATTTTTGTGCTTCCAAGTCACAGCCACATGTAGTCTAGTTATGGTTAGCAAGTATTCTAGGCTAATCATTGATAGGACTCAAACACCAACCCAGGCTTTTCTGACATTAACAATAAGGATCTTAACATTATATGGCAGGGTTAAAATCATGTGTAAAGAGCAGCATCGTAAATGTTGTAGGCATTTGGTCTACATAGGATGCCACATGTTTGTTTTGTTTTTATTGTTGTTGTTTCCCTCACAACAATTGAAAACTATAATTTGTTCTTATCTCAAAAGCCATGAAGAGTCTGCAGGTGGAATTTTGTCCTTGCAATATAACTTGTTTTCCCTGCTCAATGACATTGCATTTCAAGTGCCAATGACCCATTGGTAAGCTTTTGGTTTTTTAACTCACAGGTATGTTACACTATATTTAACCACTTACCATCACTTGAAACTACTTTATGTATTCCAAATTTCTGTCTCATAACCCAACATTGACCACATTGGATTTCTTGATATTACCACATCATAATTTCTTTTTTCCTAAAATGACCCTGATAGCCAATTTTATGTTACTGAGACAAAAATACCTGATAAGAACAGCTAAGAGGTGGAAAAGGTTGTTAAGTGCTCATAATTTCAGAGGTTCAGTTCATGGTCCACCAAGATGTGTCAGAACAACATGGCAGAAGAGCATGAGGAAGGAAAACAGCTCAGATCATGGCAATGAGAAAGCAAAGAGAGCACAAGGAGTCAGGAACAAGATAAAGTCCCCAAGTGCATATTCTAATTTACCCACTTCTTCCAGCCTCACCCCACCTATCTCACTTACTACCCAGCAATCCATTCAAATTATTGATTCTTCAAATGGATTAATCCACTAATGAGTTTCCTGCTCCCATAATCTAATCATTTCACTCCTGAACATTCCTGCATTGCCTAACACATGAGCTTTTGGGGGTGGGAAAGACACATAATATCCAAACCATAATAATGACCTTGCCCCATCACATTTGCACAGATTTTATTAAATATTTGTCTTTCATCAGGCAGTATTCATGAAAGTAACACAATAATGCTGATCCTGTATCTGGTTAGTGTGTTT